ACTTGTATGTCTCATAAAAAAAATGCTTTCAAAAGAGCTATGTAGGTAACAGCTCTTAGCTTGCCAATAAAGTTAGGAATCCTTAACCTGTAAATAGCTGTCAATAAAGCTAGGGATCCTTAACCTTGTCAAACCCTGTGTAAAAAAAAAAAAAAAAAAAAAAAAAAAAAAAAAACCCACCACAGAACTGCAGGAGGGCAAGAGAAGAATGCGATGAGAGCAACAGAGCAATGGTCGACACACTAGCCGAGGTGGCCAGGAGAGCACACATGGGGGGAGCAAAGTTACTAGTTATGGGTGATTTCAGTCGCAAGGAGATTGACTGGGAAAACCTGGAGCCCCATGGGGGTCCCAAAACATGGAGAGCCAAGATGATGGATGTGGTACTGGAAAACCTCATGCATCAACATGTTAGAGACACTACCAGAGAGAGAGGAGAGGATGAACCAGCCATACTGGACCTTGTATTCACCTTGAGTAGTTCGTAAATCGAGGATATCATGTATGAAAGGCCCCTGGGAGCTAGTGATCATGTGGTTCTGTGCTTCGACTACATAGTTGAGCTCCAAGTGGAGAAAGTAGCAGGAATAGGGTGGGAAAAACCAAACTACGAAAGGGGGAACTACTCAGGCATGAGGAACTTCCTTCAAGACATTCAGTGGGAGAGGGAACTGACAGGAAAACCAGTACAAGAAATGATGGACTATGTGGCAACAAAATGCAAGGAGGTAGAGGAGAGGTTTGTTCCCAAGGGAAACAGAAATAATGGGAAGAACAGAACGAGTCCTTGGATCACCCAAAGGTGTAGGTAGGCAAAAGCTAGGTGTACTAGAGAATGAAAAAGGTACAGAAGACAGAGAACTCAGGAAAATAAAGAGATTAGCCGGAGAGCCAGAAACGAATATGCACAGATAAAAAGGGAGGCTCAGCGACAATATGAAAATGACAGCATCGAAAGTCAAGACTGACCCGAAGCTGTTGTACAGCCACATCAGGAGAAAAACAACAGTCAAGGACCAGGTAATCAGACTGAGGAAGGGTGACGGGGAATTCACAAGAAGCGACCGAGAGGCATGTCAAGAGCTCAACACGAGATTTAAAGAAGCATTTACAGTGGAAACCAGTAGGACTCCAGGAAATCAGAACAGGGGGGTACACCAGCAAGTGCTGGATGAGGTACATATAACCAAGGAGGAGGTGAAGAAGCTGCTATGCGAACTTGACACCTCAAAGGCGGTGGGACCAGACATCTCTCCGTGGGTCCTTAAAGAGGGAGCAGAGATATTGTTTGTGCCATTAACAAAGATCTTCAACACATCATTTGAAACTGGGCAACTCCCGAGGTATGGAAGATGGCAAATGTGTCCAATTTTTAAAAAGGGAGACAGACATGAGGCACTAAACTACAGACCTGTATCACTAACATGTATAGTATGCAAGGTCATGGAGAAGAGCATCAGGAGGAGTGTGGTGGAACACCTGGAAAGAAACAAGTGTAATTGACAACCAGCACGGTTTCAGGGAAGGAAAATCCTGTGTCACAAACCTGCTAGAGTTTTATGACAAGGTGACAGAAGTAAGACAAAAGAGAGAGGGGTGAATCGACTACATTTTTTGGACTGCAAGAAGGCCTTCGACACAGTTCCTCACAAGAGGTTACTGCAAAAGCTAGAGGATCAGGCACACATAACAGGAGAGGCACTGCAATTGAATTGGTCTATGAAGTGTTTGGCCAGAGTGTGAAAAAATACCTCCTGGAAAATAAATTGCCACTCAAGTGTGTCCTGGTACTGAGCAATGCTCCTGCTCATCCTCCAGACTTGGAAGACCAATTGTTTAGGGACTTCAATTTTATAACTGATGTTCTTGCCTCCTAACACCACTCCTCTCATCCAGCCCATGGACCAGCAGGTCATTTCTAACTTGAGAAAGCTCTTCACCAAAGCAATGTTTCAAAGGTGTATTGAAGTGACCTCAGACACTGATTTGACCCTAAGAGAGCTCTGGAGGGATCACTGCAATATCCTCCATTGCATAAGCCTTATAGGTAAGGCTTGGCAGGAAGTGACTTCCAGGACTTTAGGGAAGTCCATGGAGTTGGAGGTGAGTGGCCAGGATGTGGAAGAGTTGGTGGAGAACCACAGGGAAGAGCTAACCACTGAAGAGCTGCAAGACCTTCAAATGGAACAGTAACAAACTGCAGCTGAGGAAATTGCTTCAGAGGAGGAGGAAGAGAGAGGGGAGAAGGTGCCTTCTTCAGTGATTAAGGACATGTGTGCAAAGTGAAATGAGTTGCAAAGTTTTGTTGAAAAATATCACCCTGACCAAGCTGAAACAAGCCATATCTGCAATATGTTCAGGGACAAAAACCTTGTCCCACTTCAGGCAAATCTTAAAGAGATGTGTACGAATGGTATATAATACCGACAAGTTGAGATTAAGACACATGTGCAACATCTGGGTATCTTTATTGTAGACGTTTCGCCATCCAGTGGCTTTATCAATACAAATTCTAGGACATAACTTGAAGACAGTAGAACTATGTACAGAAGATGAGGTAATCAGTCCCTCAACCTAGGAGTAGGTGCGAAGAGCACCATAGTCGTGGAGATTCTGAAGCAGAAGAAAGGACCCTGGCGCTTATATAGTAACGTCAGGTGTAGCAGACGAGGGCATATTCACTGGTAGGCGGGATTCCCCAGTGGAAGTAGGTCCTTCCCAAAGAGATGGGTTAGTTGTAGTAGTAGTTGTCGTAGTCGTGAAGGTTATGTACATGTCCTCAGAATTAAGATTCCATGATGTTGCAGTGTCTGACAAGTTGTGTACGAATGGTATATAATACCGACAAGTTGAGATTAAGACACATGTGCAACATCTGGGTATCTTTATTGTAGACGTTTCGCCATCCAGTGGCTTTATCAATACAAATTCTAGGACATAACTTGAAGACAGTAGAACTATGTACAGAAGATGAGGTAATCAGTCCCTCAACCTAGGAGTAGGTGCGAAGAGCACCATAGTCGTGGAGATTCTGAAGCAGAAGAAAGGACCCTGGCGCTTATATAGTAACGTCAGGTGTAGCAGACGAGGGCATATTCACTGGTAGGCGGGATTCCCAGTGGAAGTAGGTCCTTCCCAAAGAGATGGGTTAGTTGTAGTAGTAGTTGTCGTAGTCGTGAAGGCTATGGTGCTCTTCGCACCTACTCCTAGGTTGAGGGACTGATTACCTCATCTTCTGTACATAGTTCTACTGTCTTCAAGTTATGTCCTAGAATTTGTATTGATAAAGCCACTGGATGGCGAAACGTCTACAATAAAGATACCCAGATGTTGCACATGTGTCTTAATCTCAACTTGTCGGTATTATATACCATTCGTACACAACTTGTCAGACACTGCAACATCATGGAATCTTAATTCTGAGGACATGTACATAACCTTCACGACTACGACAACTACTACTACAACTAACCCATCTCTTTGGGAAGGACCTACTTCCACTGGGGAATCCTGCCTACCAGTGAATATGCCCTCGTCTGCTACACCTGACGTTACTATATAAGCGCCAGGGTCCTTTCTTCTGCTTCAGAATCTCCACGACTATGGTGCTCTTCGCACCTACTCCTAGGTTGAGGAACTGATTACCTCATTTTCTGTACATAGTTCTACTGTCTTCAAGTTATGTCCTAGAATTTGTATTGATAAAGCCACTGGATGGCGAAACGTCTACAATAAAGATACCCAGATGTTGCACATGTGTCTTAATCTCAACTTGTCGGTATTATATACCATTCGTACACAACTTGTCAGACACTGCAACATCATGGAATCTTAATTCTGAGGACATGTACATAACCTTCACGACTACGACAACTACTACTACAACTAACCCATCTCTTTGGGAAGGACCTACTTCCACTGGGGAATCCCGCCTACCAGTGAATATGCCCTCGTCTGCTACACCTGACGTTACTATATAAGCGCCAGGGTCCTTCTGCTTCAGAATCTCCACGACTATGGTGCTCTTCGCACCTACTCCTAGGTTGAAGGACTGATTACCTCATCTTCTGTACATAGTTCTACTGTCTTCAAGTTATGTCCTAGAATTTGTATTGATAAAGCCACTGGATGGCGAAACGTCTACAATAAAGATACCCAGATGTTGCACATGTGTCTTAATCTCATCTTAAAGAGATGCCAGAAACAGAGCTCTCTGGACAGTTTTTTGTATGACAGAGGTCCAGTGGCTCTCAAGCTGGTCCTAGTGACATTAAAAGACAAAGAAGGGAAGTAACCCCAGAGAGGAACTTGATACCTGAAGTCCTTATGGAGGGGGATTCCCCTTCCAAACAATAACCCCTAACTCTCTCTCCCCTCCTCACCTTCCATATGCCAACATGAGTCTTCAATAAAGATATGTAATGTTTATATTTATTTATATTTATTTCTCATTGTTTTCTGTATGTAAAACTATAGTTATTCTTTAAAAATTAATTTTTTTGTGAATATTTTTGGGTGTCTGGAACGGATTAATTGTATTTACATTATTTCTTATGGGAAATATTGCTTCGGTTTTCGCACTTCTGGAACGGATTAAGTGCGAAATCCGGGGTTCCACTGTATTTTAACAGATTTATCAATTAAGTTTCTTGGGTATTTTAGATCATTAGCTATTTCATAAATTTTGGAGATTTCTTCCTGAAGAAAGATTGAAGACTCTTAAACTACATTCACTTGTAAGACGAGGAATGGGGGGAGACATGATCAAAGTGTATAAGTGGAAGATGGGTATTAACCAAAGGGAATATAAATATGGTTTTGAGGATATCCCTCCAAGAGAGAGCCCGCAATAATGGATTCAGATTAGACAAGTTTAGATTTCGAAAGGCTATAGGAAGGTACTGGTTTGGTAATAGGCCAGTTGATGAGTGGAACAGTCTGCCTAGTAGGGTTATCAAAGCTAAAACCTTGGGTAGTTTTAAATTTATGCTGGATAAATACATGAGTGAGAGGGGTTGGATTTGAGTGGGACTTGCATGTGAGTAAATAGAATTACCAAAGCTTATTGTCTGGGTAGTGTTTATTCTGTTAGTGGGTTGGATTTGTGAAGGACCTGCCTAGTATGAGCCAACAGGCCTACTGCAGTGTTCCTTCTTTCCTCTGTTCTTTTCTTATCTTTGTCGTGGTACAACACAACTGCAATAAAATCATTGTCCTCATACCTGGGAATATCGCAAAAACTGGCTTCTTCTCTGGCAGTGAAGCACCATGGCATGTCATCATTGTCTGGGTTGGCACAGTAGTTGTCCCTGAGGTCAGCAGCCATAAGTAAAGCCTTCACCTTTGGTTGAACCCTCGGGTCACTCCACGACAAGCAGGGTTCACCCTGAGCAGTGATGTTGCCTGTGCCTGAGTAAGTCATCCCTCGGCCGTTGATGCAGCCTGGTCAAAGAAAACAGAATAGTCAGTCATTCTCTAAGAGAAATGTCGGTATTTTTCCTAAGCAAGTAAGTTTAATTAGGTAAGTTTATTTAGGCTCTGGTACACATAAATGTAGGACAACAAATTATCTTAGGTAGTAACATATGTAATAATCGCTAACAAGAGATACAAGATGCAAAACAACCACGAGGGAAGTTGAATGATAGCTCTAGGTCTTTCGTGTTGCAGTCAACACGTCATCAGGAGCTTGCAGTGTTGCAGGAATGAGTAAGAAGTCCAAGCAAATTCTTTTAGGGGAAAGCTTTTGCCAGATTCCAGCAAAAAACTTTCCACGTGAACGAATTTGCTTGGACTTCCTACTCATTCCTGCAACACTTCAAGCTCCTGATGACGTGTTGACTGCAACAGGAAAGGCCTAGAGCTATCATTCAACTTTCCCCCGTGGTTGTTTTGCACGGTAACATATGTGTACGTTACCTTGGACAACCCAAAGTGGAAAAAAAGCTACTTAGCAGACGGAGGATCAAGCCTCCACCACTCCTTGCGGTGAACGACCCAAATGGGGTTAAACGTTTCGCAATAAAGAAATTAAACTTCTCATATACTACACACAAAGAAATAAAAAAAATAATTTTTGATAGTGTCGCAACTTTGAACACTTTCATTTTGACAAACTTAGCATTCAACATACATCAGCAAAAGAATAAAAAAAAAAAATCATAAATACTTACCAACGTCGATCTTGTTGGTTTCACAAACGTAGTGGAGCTTCTCCTCACAGTTCGATGACTGCAAATGTTGAACGGTGAACAGTTTCGGTGCAATATAAGAATTAAGAACATAAGAAAGAAGGAACACTGCAACAGGTCTACTGACCCATACGAAGCAGATCCATGCCATCCCCCCCCCCTCCCCCCGCGGCCAAGAGCAATGACCACCTTGTCAGGTCACTTCCACTTAAGCAAAGAGCACGGCACCAGACCTGGTAGCACAAGCTAGTCAGGTCCAACTCACACCTACCCACACCCACCATGTATTTTAACCCTTTTTTAAAAGACACAAAGGTCTTAGCTTCTTGACG